AGCATGGTTGTACGACTTGTTTTAACCTCTCTCAGAACTACAGAAATTTAAATCCCATACGTGGGACCAATGATAACACCAAATGCAGGAACAGGGACTCCATGGCAACAGTAATGATCCATTTTACATGAATATTACATGTACATTATCCCAAGTTAATATCCCAACTACCAAGTTCACATGTATAAGTGTGTGAAATAAATGATCATTAGAAAACACTGTTTTACACGGAATGATCAAAGCCATTGTGTCACTCTGATTGTAATCTTAGGTCTCCAACATACAAGAAATTTTCATTGCAAGACATTGAAATTAATCGTGGCCGATTTGACAGATTTGTATTTTTGTGAGATCCTAGTGTTAATAAATATAGAATTCAAAGCATATAATTCTACCAGTATATCACATTTGTGATATTAATAGAGCATACATAGAGCAAATCTGATATTAGATTGCAAATATTCCTGGAAATCTAAAACAAATCCTCCATGAAATGCTGAGGTATACATACAGTAAAAATATGGAAAAAAAATTTCTAGTTTAAGAGAAGAAAGATGACAAAAATTGCCTTGAGTGTCACAGGATCGAGTGAAAAGCAATGAATTTATGATTTAAAATATGCGAAAATTTTGCTTTTCAATAAAACAAGTTTGGAAAGAAGAGTAAATTTAAATACATACATTTATGTGCTTATGGTTGAACTGAGTGTTAACAGGAATAACAATATTAATCCCTATACACTAGAGCCAATATGTGTTTGAAGTTAATTAATTTCATAATTATTGAGAAATATCACTGGATAATACAAATTTGCAGCTTATTTATAAAATCTTATTATTGAAACATCCTGATAATTTTTACAGTTTAAATTCATTTCATAGCTTTGTGTGATACCTCAATTTCTGCTGAAGGATTCGTATATTGGAAACACAAATTACAATTTCAAAAATTATTTGATAAATCCGGGTCATGCCATTCATTACTTTTGTCTAGTATTAGTAATACTATGGTTTAGTCAAAATCACACACATGTGCAAATATTAATCAAATCACCATCATCACATATAAATGACCTATTTTCTGAACGCAGTGTATATCTGTATTCACTTCAGGGAAAATTAACCTGCAAAGATTCTGGTATTGGAAAGGTGGAATGTTAGTTGATATTATTTAAATCACTCTATGAATAAAGTAAAATTTATAGGGAAAAATCCAATTAACATTTCGTACACACATAATCTAAGAACTATTTATGGGTAGGAAAAGTTCCCAGAGAATCGTAATACATGTTTGGCAAACTTAAAAAACAAATGTGCCGTGTTATTCTGACGATGCTGAAAATTATCAAAAAACATGCAAATTAAAAAACACCATGATAAAAATGTAATAATATCACATTTTATCAAAAATTCCTACAAACTAAATATAAATATGCTACATGCATAAATATACATTCTACAAATTTCGGCAATATATTTCTCAAAACGCATTTCCAAAGTAAACGACAAGCAATACATTTCTTGTATATTTTCAATAAAGAAATGGTGAATCTTAGACAACCATTATCAACATTATACTTCACGATTCAAAAACCTTTCATTTATACCAAGAATACCGATACTGGAATTCCTTGTAAACGTTACTACCACTAACTTAAGTACGGTACTTCCCTAGAACACACATAGTAGTTCACTGTCGAAAAATAATTCCACTCAGCTGCAGTAAAAGAGTTTTAAAATCCGAATTTAAAACAGATACAATCGACAAATAATTTGTGGACATTGAAATTTAAAATCCTTAGCTACATTTTTGCATATAAATTGAAAAGGCGTAATAAACAAAAGGATGTTGATTTAATCGTAAAATAAATTGAGGGCGATCAATACCGTGAAATGAACAATTATTCATTATTTACAGTGAATAGGGAATAGCAATTTACATAGAATAGAGACGACAAGCAAATGCATAAGCATTATGAATTAAAAGAGGAGACTCAATTCACATTCAACCTATTAACAAAACCAACAGAGAAAATCTTTTAAAATGGTATTCATCAATAAAATAACAATTAGTACAATTGATAATAAAATATTATTTGTAAATAATTATGTTAATATTATACAATCTCTTATAAAATACATTTCTATACATTAGATATTATAAACCATTGGTTAATTGATATATCTCAAGATATTGTAAATAATGACATCATAAAGCTGCATAGATGTGGAAGGTCGAGTACTTATAATGCACTGATTGGTGTATCAAGTTTTATCACTATAGAATATGACCTGAATTTGTGTAATTGCATCGCACTAAATAATATATTCTGGATGGAAAAATCTTGAGTAATAATAAAAACAGATCAAACAAATTCATAAAAATATCATGCACACAGAAAAACAAAATATTGTATGCTTAGATCTAAATGATTTGGTTTGGATATCATTCCTATAGCATTATCTGGACTAGTATGTGAAATATCTGAATATCTGAATTTATTGATTCATTTTTTAGGCAAATCAACAGACAAAGAGCCCAAATATAGATCTTGAATAAGGGAAAGTTCCGGACACCCTCCAGTAATTACCACCAGCTACTTGTTCCGACAAGGATGTTGTGATTTTATATGCACTGAAGACATGAACAGTACATCAACAGTTTTTACGTGTCCTCTGACTGGACGGCATATCCCCAACCTGGAATGCAGTGGCAAATGGGCTGAATGTACTACAGCAATCTCCATGATGCTGGATGAACACACTAATCATTAAACCACACATCAGATCAGAGTTGAGTGATTTAAGGGATATATTTAGGAAATTAAAAATTTCTCATTTCATTTTCTGCTTATCTGAATATATGATATATGGTGATTACTGCAGGATCACAGAAATTTATAACTGGGTATACATGTACATGTAAGACAAATTGCATATGCAGTATAAATAATATTTTTATACATTCATATTCAAATATATAATATTTATATACATGTACAATATTCAAATACAGTGTATTTAAAGCGCAGCGAGCATCACGCTACACCTGCACAGTTCCATAGGAACAAAGATTGCGCATTTGAATGTTTGTTGCCTTCATGCTCATCAACAATTTTGCCCAAGATGTTGCGACAAAAAACGCCCTTCAAATAGCTATGAATATTCAGATCATCAAATATGATTATGTTACATAATAGTCTCAAGACCCAAATAAGGCTTTAGGAATGATCTACATACACAAACTTCATTATAAAGCATATTCCTTCCACTGTGGCATCAACAACAATGGTGAGAGCATTTGTCGCACTGTTTCATTATAAACACACCAAAACAATTCTCCCCTGTCAACTTTTTATCCGTAATTACAGGATAAAAATGTACAATGATCAACAAACTAAAATTTCAATCTTCGAGCCCAATGTAAAAATCGTTGAGCACCAATTGGAGAAATGATTTTAGGTTTTGTGTGGTTACCAACCTGGTGTCTTTCCAGTACTCTTTTGGCACTGTCAAACGTGTTCTGTAACAGCATAGCAACAGTCATCGGGCCAACGCCACCGGGTACCGGTGTGATGTGAGATGCCACAGTTTTAACTTCAGGGAAATCAACATCACCAACCATACGTCTTCCACTTTTTCGTGTGGAATCTAATGAACAACAGAAGTTAGAGTTATAAAATATAAATGAAATAAAGCGACAATACGATGCAACTTAAGCTAATTACTATGCACAAATCTGTAACAAAACAAATTTCACCACGAAGCACGACATGTTTCTTAAAGGAAAACCTGTCACTCGCAGATATTGAACCAGGGAAACATGGGACACCATTGTTTATGTTTGTTACACTATTATTTTGTCTTTTGTTATCTATTGTAATTTTGCTGATTTACTTATTACATTCGGATGATAAAATACATTTCTTCACAGTTTCAAACACCCCAGGGAATGCATAGAGGCAGATAGGTGCGTACCTTCAACAAATCCAATACCGCAATCAATAACAACAGCTCCAGGTTTTACCCAGTCTTTCTTAACCATCAATGGTTTACCAGCAGCGACAATCAAAATATCAGCTTTTGAAGCCTAGCAACAAGAATGGGTGAAATAAAGTGATGTACTTGTCAAATATATTATACTAAAACCCAACATTTTTTTATGTATTGTAAGTTTATTTTTAATAGAAAATAAAAACATTGACTAATTAAATAGTGATGTGTTTCTCACCACTCCAGGAAGGTCATGAGTGTGACTATGACATGTGGTCACAGTGGCATGGTTCCAGAGCAAAAGATCAGACATAGGAGCACCAACAATCTTACTACGTCCAATCACGACGGCATTCTTACCATCCACATCAACACCTACAAACACAACATGAGATATAAACAAGGTGAATTCAGAAAACCAAATTAATCACTGTAGAATTTTACAATTTATATATATATTCCTAACTAGTAATAAATAACTAATAATGACATACCAGCTCTCTTTATTAATTCCAGGCACCCTCTAGGGGTGCATGGTATGAAACATCGCTTTATTTCGCCTCGTGCTAGTTTGCCAGCATTCTGTTCGTTTAATCTACAAAGCAATATACATATAGAATGAGCAACTATTATGAATACACCAAGACTCCCAAGACCACAACATCTTAACATCAGGAATCTGATATTATGAGTTTTGATATTCAATTGAAACAAATTTGAGTAAAAGATTCATATGTACATTGATTACAAAACAAAATTAAGTTGTATTAAATATAACACTATGATTCATCTTTTTTCTATCGACAGTTAACAACATCAGTCAAAGAATCTCGGGGTAATTGACATTCATAAAAAAAAATGGCTTCTAGATGGCCATTTTGAATTTAATCATGAAAATACACCAGGTATGTAAGAAATGACAGATTGACAAACAAAGTCTACTGTATTTACTTATTTAGAAGCACATCATTTATGGATGAATGCAAAAATTAAACAATTAGAAAAACTATTTGCCTCTATTTGATATGCAAGGTGTAAGGCAATTATTTGCATTCCATAACAAACAAATTATGAACAACAACAGCATTGTGTAAGCTAAAGTACAACATGGAATTCAGTAAAGATGAAATAGTTTTAGCTGTGGTAGATAATACTACTGGATTCTGCTGTAAATTCACCCTGGGCTGTTAAACGACAGTTTGGGTTTTTAAAACAATAAAATGGGTCCAATAAATATTTTGGCGTCATTTTTCAGACCTTTCAATCATTCCTGATGCCTAAAATAGTCTAATTTAAGTTTTATTGTAGTCATTGACGCTTATTCAAGAGAATGGGTAAGCTTTGTTTCAACAAGACATGAAATGTCACAGTCCCCGTTATTTGATTATAAAGTTGTACAAGGAACATCTGCAAACAGGTGAATAAATATGTACTCTATGTGGGTACAACTCATCATAAAGTGATTTCCGATGATCTAGTTTTGTACTGACAACTAAAAACTTCCACTGACCCATGTTCAGAATCTCAGAGTACACAAGTGCAACAAAACTATTTGTCATACATGTATACTTGCTCAAGAAACTGCATTCATAAATCTGAGTGAACCTTGATGTACATGACTTCTTTGTTAATCAGGTCTTAGTATATTACCAGGACCTGGGTTTGTTTCAACATCACCACTGGGCATCAGAATCATTCTCATGTTGTCAAATACAATTTTTTATTAATACAGTAAGGTTTATTATTTAAAATGTATTCATTGTACATAGAACAACATCTGTTAATTTAAACAATTGTAAAAGCTATGTTTTCAGAGCAAGTACATGTAATAATTAAGGAAGCCAGTAAAGGTTGGTCTGCTCATAACCTTCAATGGAGAAGTAACAATAATTGTTTGAAGTCTTTTTAGTGCAGTGATATTATTGCATTTCATCATTATTAATGGGTATAAAATACTGTAAGCCATTTAATTTTCACTTCTAGATATATTCAGGATTCTATGAAATTTCAATAAAGTCCCTGACACTCCATGTTGTAGGAACCCAGAAAAAA